CCTGACCACCTCTTGCCGTAGGCCTATGCAGTCTTCGGTTTTGTGTCCCCGTTCCTCATGGAACTCACATAGGGCGTTTGATTTCCTTGTGACAGGGTCTGATTTCATCTTCTGCGGCCACTGCACCTTGGTGCCCAGCTTCTCCAGTGCGTACACTATTTCTGAAGGAGATACACAAAAGTTATGGGCGGTGAATAAAGGGGGCGTACCTCTTTCGTTTCGGAGTGGGACGACGTGTCGCTGTAGCGCGTCTGTATGCCTTGGTGGCGGATGGGAGGATCTGGTGTATGGCTGATGTCGATCTCTGTTGGAGCGGGGGAGTTGTTCTCGTCGTCCTTCGTTCCGTCGATCTCTCCTCGTTTCTGAGTGTATCGCTGTTAGCCGTTGGGTCGGCCCATTAAGATCGTCCTCGTCCGCTCGTACCTCGGTGCAATAGGCGTTGTGGATTTCCTCCCATGTGGTAGGGGGATATTTCATGAGGCGGCTCAGCAGCTTCTTGGTTGCCCTCGAACCATCCCTGCTTAGCACGTTCTGGAAAGCGGCGATTGCCATACCTTCCGATACGTTTGGTAGACTCATCCTTACCCTGTTAAACCTTGCCAGGAAGTCCCTGAGTCCCTCTCCTGTGGTTTGCCTGACGGAGAAGATGTCGCTGACCCTGGCCTCCGCTTTCTTCACGCTTGCATGGGCTGTGACGAACTTATCCGCCATTTCCTCGAACGTTAATATTTCCTTAGGCGGTAACTGAGAGTATCGTGTCAAGGCCCCTCCTGTCAACGTCTCGCCAAACTTTTTCAGCAGTACCGACGGTACCTGTTCTTTCGATAGGTCGTTGCCCTTCACCGCGGTGACGTAGTGGATCAGATGATCCTCGGGATCTGTGGTTCCGTCATATACCCTCAAGTAGGGTGGCATCTTGAAGGTTTTTGGGGTGGAGTGAGGGGCAGCTTCTTCAGTGTATGGTTGTTCAACGAACCTTCCCACGTCGTGTTTTGGTAGCAACTTGGGAGCACCGGGGATCTTGTTGACCCTCTCCTGATGTTCCTTCATCTGACCGCGGAGCTTCTTGTTTTCATTTTCCATTTCTTCCATCTTCTTTAGGATGGCTGTTAGCGTGCTATCGTTGGTCTGTGTCTCGATGGGTTTGTTATTCGCTAGTGCAACTTCCGATTCACCCACGGCAGCAGTGGTACCTACCGTTGGTGTACACCCGATGTTACTTTGTGGTGACCTCTCAACCAAGCCACTTAGAGTGCTTGTTAGCCATCTTTCCAGTAGCTCCTTAACCGCTGAGGGTGCTTCCGTAGCCGCAGATGTGGAAGCTCCTTTTTCGTGCAAGATCGTCAGACCTTCGGATGGGGAAGGTGAGATCTCTGCACCCGGTGTGATGCTAGGGGTTGCATTCAGGATGCCATCGTCACTGGCCTCGTTGAGAGGGCCAAGGAGATTGGTAGTGACACCCAATATAGCTTTCGATCTTGTGTTATTTTCGGCCATTTTCTGTTTTTGTGTGGTGTAGAGAGTGGTAGTTGGTTGATCCCTAGGTGGATACTATGGTTTTGATTCTCGAAATCCCCACAGACGGCGCCAAATTGTTTGGCTCAAAAGTTAACAATATACTTTGTAAGCTAGAAAACAATCAAAAGTAAGAAAAGGGTAAATCGTAATCAAATATAATAAACCTAGAGATGCAAAGATGATATTATCGTTGTAGATCTAGTATTGCAAAGTGATAATATGAACTCAGTAAGATATGTTCGTTTGAGGTAGAGATAGAGAGAGAAAGCCAGAAATGAGAGAGTTGTATTAGATCAGCATCCCCCCTTTACAGTGTGAAGGTCTCCTTTATATAATAAGAGACTTTCCTCGAAAGAATCAAAAAGTTACAAAGACAGGTAACGTCTCCCTAGTGAAGACACTGAGTCCTAAACGATGTCGCTTTTGTCCCCACGTCCGAGTCGTACCCGCTACGTTAGTCGGCGTACACTCACTGGGCGTACCCACTGGCGTAGAGATGCTGAGGGTCAAATTTGACCCTATACATTTTGTTATAGGAAAAAGAGAATATCTGAGCCTATGTATGGTTACGAGCACAATTCTTGAAGACAAATTGCATAATTATCACGAGGAGGTGTCACACTACTTTATAATAAGGTTGGTGGTCCATACTATTGTCTGGTTTGCCTAGTGGTATTAAATGTGCTATGTTGTCTTTGGGCTATAACCTAATTTACATGTCCTTTCATTGTAGTAGGATGGATAAGATTATTTCATCGGAAATATTAGGTTCGAGCCTTAAGAATGAAAAATTATGATAAGGAGCTTTCTTTCTTTTATAAGCTTTACACGGTATATGTTTGAATTAGTCGAGACCTCAATACGAGTACCGAACAACGACTAAGAACTAAAAGAAAAAAAAAAGAAATAAATGAAAAACAATTTCAAATTTAAATGAGATAAAATAAGGTGGCATTTAAATTTAAAAGACTATTCGAAATTGACTAATCTTATTGGATATACTGAAGTTAAAACTGCTTAATTTTAGTTAGATTTTGATAGCAATTAATTACTTTTTTAACGAAAACATTCTATTCGATATTAGTTAGATAGTCAATAACTCTTCACCAAAAACTTTAGTACTACCCCTTTAAAAGGACAGTTTTTCAGAGGGGAGCAGTACAAATTTCTACTTATTGTCCGACTACTCAATCCAACCCTTCCAATTTTTTTTATTTTTTGACAAAAATATGAGGAAACAAAATGAATAAAATACAAGAGAAACCAAAATTATTAAAACAATTTAAGTACAATGGAGGTAGGAAATCTCCGGAAGTTATAGTAGTAAAATGGATAACATCGCTCTACCCTTAATCAAAGGTTTTGTATTCGAGATATGAGAATGGAAAAAATTCTCTTTCTTGTCTTATGCGACGCGAATCCTAATTAATTAGTATTTCAAAGCGAATACCGCACACTCAGGGGCGAAGTTACATTATTCAAAAGGTAGTTAATTCGTCAAAAAATTATTTTGTATATATAAATAAAATATTAGGTTTTAAAGGGGCGTAACATGCACTTAACACCCTTTGTCGAGGATTATTTTTACTTCTTTCAAGTTTGAACACCTTTTGCGAAATTTGTTGACTTCAGCTATGCACACACTGATATGAAAAATAGACAAAAAGACAATGGAAGTAGGAATGGGCAAGTTATGGGCTTCCATGCGAACTACTACAAGACTGAAAAGGCTTGTCATAAAACTTATTATTACAAAAAAAATCTGAACAGAATCTTGGAAATGCATTTTAACTTGAGGATCCAATTTCTATGTCATTGGTGGGACTAACACACACACACACACAGTTCTCTTCTTACAGTAATAGTACTAGTTTGTTTTTTCCTTTGTCACTGTTTAATGCCTTTTCCAATCTGCAGTGGTTGAATTCAACTATAAAGAGTCCCAAACAAGAACCAAAAATTATACTACTAAAGTAGTGTGCTGCTGTCTGCTTTCTTTTTTTTATCTGACGTTGCACCTCTCTCTCTCTCTCTCCAATGATCTTATCTCTATTTCTTTCATATTTACAGTACTTATTATACCTCACCATTTTTAGTAAAAACTAGAATACCCACAAAGCAGAACAATTCTGTCATGTCATTTTTAAAGCTCTGAGCCTGCAAGTTCTTGAAATAACTAAAGGGTACTACTCTACTTTTCTTTCTTCTTTTTTCCACCTTTCTGCTTTAGCTTCTAGCTTTCTTTCCATCTGAATTATTGCCCTTCTTTTTGTTTCTTGATGATAAAATCATGAGCTTTCTTGGTTAGTATTGTTGTTGTTATAATTATTGTTATTATGGTTATGATTATGAATTGTTTCAACTACTATAACTATTATTAATATGATTATGATTTTTTAGTTATTAATTTCTCTTTGTAAAAATTGGAGCTTTTGGTTTCTGACTTTGGTTTCTTTTCTTGATCTACTATGAGTAGCTTCAAATTTGCTCTTTTGGTGTAGTTTAAGTCTTAGTGGTCTATTTTGCTTTACATTACAACAACAACAACAATAAACTCCCACAAGTGGAGAATATTGTGTATATGCAGACCTTACCCTGAAAAAGTAGAGAGGTGGTTTTCGATAGAGTCGGCTCAGGACTATTTTGCTCTATATTGGCATATTAAAATGAATATGTAAAATAGAAGAAACCATAGTAGGTTTTAAGTGAATTGAACTAACTTATCAAAGTTTCTAAGTGAAACTGTCTGAGAGATGCTAAACTCCTATATGAAGGCTTTAGATTCTTTACTAAATTGTTGATTATCCCATAGTTTAATCGGAAATGGTGTATTTCAGCTGATTTTTGGTTCTTAGGATTTATGTTGAGCATAAGAAGAAACAACAACAACAACGAAAAATCCAATATAATCTAACAAGTAGGGTCTAGGGAGTGTGGGTAGTACGCAGACCTTGCCCTACAATGAATATAGAGAGGTTGTTTCCAGTGGATCCTCCACCGAAGGAAAAATGAAAATAGAGCATAAGAAGAAACATTTAGGATAATTGTTTCCTTTTACTTCTTCTATGTTTTCCAGCTTTTCAAGAGTTTCTTGAAATGAAATGAAGTGTTAAAGTATTCAAACCAGAAATAAAAGGAGGAAAAGACCCAAGAATAGCATATGTTTACCCTGGGGATGCCATTCTTTGCAGAAATTTTCTGATATTGTCTTTTTCTTCCTTAGGTTCTTACAAAAGATTGAATTTCCCTGGAGTTCATGAAGCTTTTGGAGTTCTTCTGATTATTTCTCAAAGTGCAATCAAAGTGAAACTCCATAGGTATTGTACATCTCATTTCAAATATGAATTAACTAACCATTGCACTATCTTATTGAATTAGGTAACTTTTTTCATACACGATTTAACTGACCTTGAGTCATGTTATGATATCAACCAGTCTAAGGTTTAACATAAACTCGGTGTTTAAGGCTGAAGACAGGTAGATCTTTTTCCATGTGTAAACAAATGATGTACTTCTATTTGATGCGCTGGTACTGATTTTAGAATAGAGAATTCTTATGCTTTCGTGTAATATCCTATTCTACTGATATAGGAATTTGAAGGCTTTTTGCATGTGTATAGTGAACTTGTTCAGGTTATAATCAATTGGTTGGTAATTGTTCACCAGATAACGCTGGTGTTCTTGAGCCGAGGGTATATCAGAAACAGCCTCTCTACCTCCCTAAGGTAGGGGTAAGGTCTGCGTATGCATTACCCTCCCCAAACACCACTTGTGGGATTCCACTGGACGTTGTTGTTGTTTAACGCTGTTGTCCGCATAGAAATCCAGGAACTCTGAAGTAATTTTAAGTTTCACAGGCAAATGGAACAAACTAAAGAGCTCCTCTCTGATACTTCACGAACGATGTCCCCTTCGTTAGAATTCCTTCTCATCTACGTTGTAGACCAACGGATTACAACCTGCAGAGAAGAAAGTAAATCAAAACCTTCAGAAGAAGTTTGAAGTTGAATAGTGAAACTTAAGCGACCAATTAAATCCAGGCAAAGTGCTTTTGATTAGACAAAATGTTTATTCTCATTTTCCGTGATTATGGAAGAAAATGATACTGAAGATGAACTGAATAGAAGGTCGAAAAGATAAAGTCAAAACAAGCTACTAAGGAGCTTCTGCGCTTAAATATATTAATCAACATGATAACCATTTAAAGAAATATGTGAATTATCAGATGTTTCTGCTTTCGATAATGCTTGCTATACGTAATGGTATAGCCTAAAAAATCTGTCAACTTCCTGCCATTTCATTCACACTGAAGGTCTTGCAGGTATGTTACACGAGGTAAAATTTGAATATTGGGACCTTCGTCTGAAAATGTATCCAAGTTTGGGATGAACAATATCTGGTGATTGTGAAGACGGACAAAGGAACGCTGTACATGCTATTATACGTATATCCGGGGGTATATTCACCTCTGCTATGTACTTATTTAATACGTACTTCTATACTTGTTTACTAAGCCCTCAAGTTAATTAATTGATGACATAAAAAGTTGCCTGAGGATTGCTAACAGCAATTTAAGGAACAAATAGTTAAATGCTTGGATATTATCTGGCAATCATCTTTGTGGACAACCCACAGTGTTCTATTCTCCTCTGTCTAGGTACTCACTTGGAATGGAGGAGGAGTGGTATGAAGGTTAAAGAAAATTTAAATAGAGTGTATTTTCCACCTTGTAGAAATCTAGGTTTCTGTTTAATCATGGTAAAAATTACATTTAGGAGTCTGTCAAACAGATTGATGTGATCAGTACGTCCGACATCTTATGTATTTTGTGAGCGGTTCTAGTGCATGTTCTTCCGATTGGTTTGCTTCTCATTGCCCCTTCCCTTTATCTTTCTTGAGACGAGAGTTTACCAGAAACAACCTATGTGCCTTCTTAAAGCTACTGTACTCTTGCAAATTCTCTGCCTTGTGGAATGTCTTGCAAGCTAGTGCTTGTTTGGTCTTGTGCGACCATGCAGAGTCCGCTGGATTGTCTGCCTTACTGGCGTTTTTAAGACATAAATTCGAATCTGTTTTTCTGTTAACTTTGTGTTCCATTACCTTGTACATTTAAGTGTTTTTTCTCTTGCTGGATTGTAGTTTATAGTCAGTTTGGAAGAAGGGCTAGCCCTGCTTCCATTGGATGTTTCTTCTTTTGGCTTCTGTGCTCTTATTCGATCATTGGGTCTATTCCTCGAGTAGCTATTGAAGACATAATAAAGTAAATAAAAGTATGCTCTCTCTAACAGCTTAAGCTTTTAGATGAGATGCTCACACACTTCAACATGGTATTAAAGCAGGGAGAGGTCTTGGGTTCGAGTCTCGCCCCCATCCAATATCAAAAAAGAATTTTCACGTGCTTGGCTCATAAAAAGAATCAAGTAAAAAAAAGTATGCTCTCTCTAACAGCTTAAGCTTTTTTAGATGAGATGGTCACACACTTCAATAGTAGCTTCATTGCTCGGCGTGAAAGTTGATTACCAGTGCCCGGGGAAATGATTAATGTATTACTTCATAAATTGATATGAATCATTGGTCAATTGATCTTGAAAAGAACAGCTCACAGCAAGCTGGATTATTTCTCCGTTTGTATAATCATATACTTCATTGTACAATGCAGGTGATTCAAGGAACGGCAACCATCCATTGATTGAATAGACCCTATAGTTTGCCTAGTTTAAATCCATTCTCGGCTTTCGCCCAAGCAACATGAAGCCTCCAAATTTCAATTTGGAATCAGAAGACGAGTCCGAGGTCAGCAGCTGCCAATTAGGTTCAAATATATATGTCCAAGAAACTTGTCCTGGTCCCTCCAAGGACAGCAGTACCAATTCCTGCCTGACAAACTCTTTTAATCTTCAGCAGGATTCACTGCATGTTACTCTTGACTTGACTCTGGGCTTCAACAGAAGTGATCCCGAGTTGAACGCCAATGGTGAGACGAGTGATGAAGTAGTACGCCATCCTCCAACAGCAGCATTATCCAGGATTTTCTCATGCAATTTCTGTAGGCGCAAGTTTTACAGTTCGCAGGCTTTGGGAGGACACCAGAATGCACATAAGAGGGAGAGGACTTTGGCCAAGAGGGCAATGCGAATGGGAATGTTATCGGACAGGTATGCTAGCATGGCGTCGTTCCCCCTACACGGGGCTGCATTTCCATCTCTTGGCGTGGAAGCTCATGCTTCTATGCACCAACGAGTCTCGTACCAAGAAACACCGACACATGCAAGTAGAGGTGGGGCGAGATTTGAACAAGGTTATTTCGGGATGCCAGTATTCGTGGAAGACGATGAAGTGGAAATGTTTTGGCCCGGTAGCTTCAGGCAAGTAGAGGGAATTGGTGGCAATCAGAGGTTTAATTCAGGGCAAGGTTCCAACATAAATTTTGTAACAGTAGCTCCTCCAACTAGGACAGATCCATCATTGCCTGATCTTAATTTGAAACTCTGATTAAGTCTTCTCTCACATTCTATTCTACCTTTTGTATCAGAATTTTCAATATTGTGGTGTTACATTAGTGCTCTATTTGTACAGGAGATTAGTTTTTTTGACTGTCTTGAAATAATTGTGGTATTACATTACTGCTCTTTCCTTCGTTAAGTGATATTTTCATTTGCAAATACTATTATGACTGCAAGATTTAATCAACAGACCAAAGTTATCTGCTTTTTTTCATTTTAGAACGATATACTCCCTCTGTTCCAATTTACGTGAACTATGTTTCCTTTTTGGTCCATTCAAAAAAGAATAACTCCTTTTTTATATTAACTTCCTATTCTATCCTTAACGAGAAGCTTTAATAGCCACGCAAATACTCTGGCATGTTTAGCACCACAAGTTTCAAAAGATTATAGTCACACAAATGTTATGACTTGTCTAGGGCCACAATCTTTAAAAGTCATCATTTCTTCTTTAAACCTCGTGCCCAGTCAAATAAGTACACATAAATTGGAACGGAAGGAGTATGAGTTTTGAAGTATGGTCCATGAATTATAATAATTCGGTTAAGAAAAACTGAAACCTTCCAATTGAAGAATAACTAGAATCTATCTCAGAGATTACACGAAATAAGATTCGTATATAACAAATAACATGTCTTTACATTGGTATCCAAGCTTAAGCAAGTAAAACAAATTAATATTGAATCTCCAAGGTCAGGGTTTATATGTGTTACGTTAATGGATTTTAAAGAGCTAATATTCGCAAATGCAGAAGGAATCTCCTTAAGCTTGTCAAAGAGAGGAGATGTTTACCATAAGACTCTTTTTTCACAGAATTGGAACAATATTTTTTGGCGAGGCGAGGAGTCGTCCATTGTAATCAATGCTCATTCGATGCTGCATAAAATCTGATTCATGAGGTGGAACACTTGAACTAATGAACTTGAAAAACTTTTCCTTTTTGGATTTTCCATAAACAAAATCATGCACAATGCCATGCAAATGGCAAGATGTGATCTTAGAATCATTGTTTTCCCTTTTAGAGACCATTAGCAGGCTACTTGAAATTATATCTCCCAAGTAAATCTCAGCTGTTTCCTCTAAACTCTTCTGTATTGGTCAAAATCTGACCACACGACCACGGCGGCAATGATCCCGTCCCAACCATCCTGCAGTAGTCATCAACGAACTCGACTTCATCTAATCACTGCTATTTACGATATAAGCGTCGAGGTCGAGGCCTCTCCATGAGGGGAGGTCACCTCCCTGACCCGGCCCAAATAAAGTATGATGAGCACGATAAGTTCTGGACTATAAATAGAGGGCAGAAGAACCTCTTAAAGGGGGGAGGAAGAAATAATTTGATTGTAATCACTGAACCTCTTCAAGGAGAGGCAGGCCAAATTTCTATAATCAATAAAACCTCCCAAGTGTCATTTCGATTGACTCTTCTATCTTTATGATTCTGTTCTTTGATCCAGTATTAGTTATGGTTGATTATGATTTACCCCTTCATCTATGTGTTGATTTGCTTGAAAAGTGTTAAATAACTTTTGAGTCAAACAATTTGGCGCCATCTGTGGGGATTTCCTAGTGAAAATACTTAGTTCTTCCTGGATCGAAGAAAAAGAAACACCGAGAAGAAAATTCGTCTCAAACCAGAGTCAATGGAGGCGCATCAAACAAAAAAAAAGAAGAATCGAATGCGCCAACGGGAGCCAGAAATCTTCCGCCCTGTTGACCTCGAACAGCCCGAACGAGCAAAGAAGTGATGCAAAGCGCTCCCCTTCTCCTCCTGATCGCCGGGTAGAAGAGTGGAGCATCCCTCCCCCCATCCACCATACTGTGTCAGGCCGGAAACCGGTGCAGAGGTGTTTCAAACGAGGAATCGAAAATCACCTCGAAGCAACCTGAACGCCACGGTCAGGCGAACAATCATAACACAGGTACAACATACAACCACAGGCCAAAACGAAGCCGACACTTAACGCCCGAGGCCTTGAACCATTGATGTAAACAACAGAACAGGGCTAAGTGCCTTCGCCATCAAAGTTCGACAGTTCGACCTCGCTCGAACAGGGACTCATAAGTGCCCTCTCCATCAAAGTTTGACAGTTCGACCTCGCTCGAACTGGGACTCAGGCTAAGTGCCTTCGCCATCAATGTTTGACAATTCGACCTCGCTCGAACTGGGACTCAGGCTAAGCGCCTTCGCCATCAAAGTTTGACAGTTCGACCTCGCTCGAACTGGGACTCAGGCTAAGCGCCTTCGCCACCAAAGTTTGACAGTTTAAACTCGCTCGAACTGGGACTCAGGCTAAGTGCCTTCGCCATCAAAGTTTGACAGTTCGACCTCGCTCGAATTGGGACTCAGGCTAAGTGCCTTCGCCATCAAAGTTTGACAGTTCGACCTCGCTCGAACTGGGACTCAGGCTAAGTGCCTTCGC